GTCGAGTTTCTGCTAAACAGTTACCAGAGAGCTAGATATTCCCGTCTGTACTGACAGCCGGTGTTTGATTCTTTTTCTTGCATGTTACATGTCAATTATTTTCGGAACAGAAATTATGAAAACTGATATTCTCATTACGCACTTTTTTCTTATAGTAGCGTATGAACATACAACTTCATTCATAACGGAAAAATGACGTCATTTTAAGAACGCGATTCATTCATAAAAGGCGCGCATCAATGACGTAATTTAAAGCACGCGACTTGTCTTACATGGGGATGTAAGACAGAGTTTTCCAGCACCGGTGTAAACGGTAGATAATCCTGTCTGAGATGCAAGAAAATCGTGTATGAGATGCAAGAAATATCATATATCTAATATGTTCAACCGGCGTTTGCATATTTTACATGTTCAAACGACGTTTGCAAATTAGACAGTACGGGGAATGACATGGGATTACGTCAAATATAACTTTGCTAATGGAATTATAAATGAGTTAGGGACGGGAATGGCATGTAAAAAGAGATATCCTCTATTATTTTACCTCAACATGTACTTCCAGTGAAAAAAAATGATAGGAAAAAGTAAAACCTATCGGCGTTTGCTTTGCGAAAAAAACATTTGTGTCGAAGTGTTCTAAAAAACTACTAAAGTCTAGTAATGACTACTCACATAATATAAAAGCTTAATTTACGCCGGGTCCTAAGGTCTATGTCTTATTTTTGTGCTCGCAGTGGAAAAAAAGATATCTGCAAATATTTGCTGAAATGTTAAATCGGCGTTTGCATTTGTGGTCACGTGACAAAACTTGTTCATCCAGGGTGTAGATAAAAGTAAACAATTTTTGAAAAAATATAGTATATCAGAAATTCTGATATATCGGGACCTTGGTGGCAGAGATCTACGCCGAAGAATTAAGGGGAGATCACTGTGTGGAGATTGTACACTACCGGCCGAATAGCGTCAGATTCCACAGGCGATTATCTGCACCGTAAGGTCTATGAGGCGACGATGTACATCTGTAAGAGACGCTGATGGAGGATATTGTCGTTTCTAAAGATCCCGACGGTGACATTATGAATAGACATTTATGAGTGACTTTGTTTTGGATTTTCATTTTGGTTTTTGCCTTTGTTAAGTTTGCATTACTGTGATGAAAAAGTGTGATTTTGGGATTTCCACCTAAGGTTCTTCGATTTACTGGTGTACATTTGATTTTAAACATTTTGAATTATTTTCAGTATTTAAGTTTGCTTTCTGTATTGAAGTTATGATATATATCTAATGGAGTCGTTAGTATTTTGTTTTCATGTAATAAAATGCATATAGTGCGGGCGTGCGTTTTCATTGTCCTTAAGTATAGTTTCGAATGACTGTCAAAGTCTATAGATCCATTTAGCTGAAATATGCTACTATGACGTCTGCCAATAGTGGTCTACTCTGTATATAACTCTGTATGGCTAGGATACTGTACTCCACAGTACTTGATAATACTTCCTTACTTCTGGAGGTATGCCAGTTTAAGATAAGAATTGAGTCACAAAAAAGAAAGACTGTTCACAGTTTACTAATTTTAATTAGTGTTAAACTGTTAATAAATTCAATTGTCAAATATTCAAATAACAGTATTGTAAATAACATCAACACATGTATATAATTCAGTCCTAAATATCCCGTAGCTATATATATCTTATATAGACTTCACGTAAATTAATACCGCGACTGCCGTTTAATTTCTATTCAAAATGTGGAAACGTAAATATAAAGTTTGGTCGAGTCAGTGACCGTATTAATGTGAAACAAAAATTATAAAGTTCTTATCAATTATTCTTAGACAATAATTGATTAAATGTAAAATAATAATCTAATGACTAGAATCTACGTTTTATTTTGCCTTAAAAATAAGTAAAATATGCCGTTCAGAAGAACACGACAATAAAGTAGACTAACCGAAAGTTAAATGAAAACTGACTGAAGTTGATCGTTTTCTGGCCTATTTATACCAAATCAGAGAAAACGAACATAAGAAGGTTCGAAAAATGTTCAACTGTACGTTTTGGCCGGTTGACAATGTTCGACGTTCGAAAACTGAACATTTGACGTTTCCATACACAAAGAACGCTGTCAACCAACCGAACGTCCGAACATCAACAATTCTTAGCTAAAGTTCTATGAAAGTTTACATAAAAATACGATAAATTGATAATATAATATTTATAAAAATGACTAGTACCATGGATTGACTATAAGTTTGTTGCTTTTGATAAAACATAACTTTGAAACGGTTTGTTTACTGAGTTTAGGCAGCAATTGCTATTGACAACGGAAGTCACACAACCCAGCGAACAACAACAACACCTGTCAAAGTTTACCGAGTAAAATTACAATAAATGCAACTTTCTAGCTAAATGTACGCTGATTATAAGAAAATATGTAAACAATTAATGAAATAAATCATTTCTCTTTATAATTCTGACATTATTTATAGTTGCCAGTCTCTCAAGTTAACACAAAAAGCGTTATCGGTACATGTAAAATGTAAACAATGCCAATAATGACATACGACCTGAGTAAACAAGTGAGATTATATCAATATAAATCAACAGGTGCCTAATATAGAAATGACCCTTTAAAATGTACCTTAATGAACGCTGAGGAACAAAGGCTTCAACACCTAATTCGAATTTCTTACATGGACCAACTACTGCAGTTTCAACAGAAAGATATGTAACAAAAGATAATAAAAATTATACTCGGAATTAAACTGAAATTCGTATTTTTGTCTGATTCTTAACTGATCTGATTTATTACCATTTAAATGCTTATCATTCTGAGTCATTTTTCGCAGTTAAAATAAAAAATCCGGAGAAACGGAGTGAGCAAATTATCTGAAATTTGGTACACAAACGATTTGGTCCAGACAATCATCAAATGGTATAAATCTTTAAAAGATGATTTCTAGTCCCACCTTTAGCAGAGTCCCTTTAAAGTTAACATTTATTTAAAACAAAATGAATCCTTAAATATAAATCATGTTACAACTCCTTGATGCAAATTGGGAACAGTGGACAAGATTATAAAACTTTTTTTCTGAGTTCTGTCTCAAATCTCATGGTTTTCATTGGTCAGTGTATATTCAGTGGCACTTTCTGACCAACCATTCCTTCGATATGAGCATAGAGAATTTCTTTATGAGCTCATAATTCCAGTCGCTTCAATATATGGATTGAGATACATTGGCAGAGCCAATTCAAGGATATCAAACCTATGACAATTTAAACTACGGTGTTCCGTTTGGACAATCGTGATATTTTATTTCGACCTTACCCGCGATGCACAATGGTACGATGTTGTAAACGCGATGGTACGATGACACGATAAAATATACATAGAACGTGGTGATGAAGCGCCCGTTAAAGTCAAAATGTTAGTCAAAGTTATATAATAGGCCAACAGTAGATAGATTGTAAGTTTTCTAACTTAGAAGCAAACAAAATACTTAAGCATATATAAGACATAAGTTGTTGTTTTTTGTTGTTGTTTTTGTTTTGTTGTTGTTTTTTTTTTGTTTCATTTTTCGCCTTTTCCCAACAGTATTTCAGTCATATAGGCGGGTAGTTTCCTAACCGTCGCTCCTTGAGAGTTACACCAATACTAGACTACCTTCCTCCGTGCTAAACTACCAATGCATCTCCCGGGGATCGAATCCACGCCAGAGAGGTAACTGGATTAGAAGTCATCGACTTTCTCTAAATTTTGATGGATGATACGCGGAAAAATGAGAATTATAATGTAATAGCAAAATCAATGACTTTTCCTCGTTGTTTTGTAGTAAATATAAAATCTGAGGCACACTTACAATGCCATTTAATGGAAATTTGTTGTTGTGGTAGGGCATTTCATGCTTTATATACGTCAAATTAATTCCATGATTGCTGAGCATACTAGTACTTTTTGCATGGTAATGTCCGTTTGGTCCAATGGCGTTTCGCAAATTGAGATGTCCGAGGTCAAGCACGTGTTCAATGAAATATTCTGCATATTGCCTTATGGTAGAATCACCAATAAACACGACATTTTTATTTTTCAAACAATTGGTGTAAGATAATGTATTATGTACAATTCGTAAAATTCCATGTATTATTTAACCAGTAACCACTTGGTTCAGACTCCATCCACGATAATAAAGCAGGACGACTATTGCATAAAATCTCAAAAGTTTGGAATTTTAAGAGACAATGTCTGATTAAAACTTCCATGTCCATTATTTTGTATCTGTTCTGATTTGAATATTATGCTGTTAAAATAGTTTCCATTTCCAAAAGATCTAATACAAGAGCATTTTCTTATAACATCTTTTGGCCTTCCACAGAACCATATGACTAGCCGCCATTAAGACTCGTAAGTCGCAAACTTGTTTGTATCCAAATATCATTTTGTTAGCCATCATTTTGTCATAAATAGTGACAAAAATCAAATCCAGTTGTAATTGCAGCTCTGCTTCATCGCACGCAAAGCATGAGTTTACAATACCCCGAATGAATATTAAAGTAATGAATAAAACTAACAGTTTGTTCGGAGCTGGTAAAACCAATCAGATTCAATCAAGCAGTATTCTTACTAGAGAATAGATAATCTATTTCCTGACAATTGTTAGGTTTGAAGTCGATTCAAATATCTACTAGCAGGTACATTTTTTAAACCAACAATTTGTTAATTTTTATGTAGACAGCAAAAGTTCAAAAACTGCGCCGGAACCGGTCAAACAACTGTACGAGAAAGTGTTGAAAATGGTGATTATTTTTTCGTTCTTTCAACTTTATGCTTAGATATGTTGCAATAAATAGCAATAGATCAGATTTTAAACTTCACAACTTTTACCATTTCGCCTGTTTTACGCAAATTGAAAAGGGGGCTTTTTTCTCTACATGTATATCAAATACATGTATAAACGATGCGCACATGTATAGTGAGTAATCCTACATAAGTCATGCCATAAGCGAGAATCTCGTGCATTTCGACTTTCACGAGTGACGCGTGGCTGTTCACTACACTTACACTGTCAAATTTGAGGAAAAATACATCGTATTATACTTTGTACTAAAGTGTACATAATTTTTTATTTGTTTTGGCAGGATATAGAAAGTGTTAACATTGCGAAGATGGGATATTAATGCATACACGTTTCGTCACGCACCAAGAAAGTGTGAGTATGGATTAATATAAGTTGTTGAATTTATTCATATAAACGTAAAGAAGTGAGCAAGAAGTGGTGATGGGAAAATACCTTTTCATTTTTCATAACATGGAGAAATGAAATCACTGTACCCTGTCTTGCGAGCCTAAACAATTCAATGTGTACCCTGTCTGGCGAGCCTATACAATTCAATGTGTACCCTGTCTTGCGAGCTCATACAATTCAATGTGTACCCTGTCTTACGAGCTCATACAATTCAATGTGTACCCTGTCTTGCGAGCTCATACAATTCAATGTGTACCCTGTCTGCGAGCTCATACAATTCAATGTGTACCCTGTCTGGCGAGCCTATACAATTCAATGTGTACCCTGTCTTGTGAGCCTATACAATTCAATGTGTACCCTGTCTTGTGAGCCTATACCATTCAATGTGTACCATGTCTTGCGAGCCTATACAATTCAATGTGTATCCTGTCTTGCGACCCTATACAATTCAATGTGTATCCTGTCTTGCGAGCCTATACAATTCAATGTGTACCCTGTCTTGCGAGCCTATACAATTCAATGTGTATCCTGTCTTGCGAGCCTATACAATTCAATGTGTACCCTGTCTTGCGAGCCTATACAATTCAATGTGTATCCTGTCTTGCGAGCCTATACAATTCAATGTGTACCCTGTCTTGCGAGCCTATACAATTCAATGTGTACCCTGTCTTGCGAGCCTATACAATTCAATGTGTACCCTGTCTTGTGATAACAAGCACGTGTCACTTCGGTCTCGGTTCCTCACTCTTAACTTGTACCTTTTATTGCGAAGGAGACTTGTTTATATACTGTGAGTTTGAAAAATAAATGAATAAAGAAATAAAAAAAAAATAAAGAATTATTATTATACGCCCGGAAAAAAATCGAATGTATCTTTTTAGCTGGACTATTCGAAGTAGAGCCGTCCAGATTTCAAGTTAAAGTTTTGGTGCAGTAAAATATTTCTACTGTAACTTTTTTTATTTCTTGAGGTATCAAATTCAAACTTCAAATATATGTTCCTTATCATCAACCACATCTTATGTGTCAAGGTTCATAACTCTAGAAGCAATAGACATTTGTATTTGAGAATAATCTTCCCTTGAACTTATAACTTTCCTTTTTACTCTTACTACTTTATTTTATAAGGGAAAAATCTTTAAATATTTTTTCCTTACCACCCCCGCACCATGTGGAATAAGATTCATAACTCTAGCATGAATATTTTTAGGATTATATCCCCATGAACTTAGATTTTTTCTCAAAAACTGCTATTTTTACTATAACTTCTTTATAGTCAATGGTATTTTCTTAAAACTTCCAATATTTGTTCCTTTTCCTCATCCATATTAAGTGTGTCATGATTTATAACTCAAGCATGAACATTTTGATAATTATTCTCTCTTGAACTAAGAATTTTTCTTTAAAACAATAACTTCTTTATTTCTTAAGGTATCTACTTCAAAATTAATTATGTTCATTACCATCAACAACATCATAAAGGACAATGTTCATAACTCTAGCACCAATAGTTCCAGAATTACCCCCTTGAACTTAGAATATTCCTTAAGAATGTGATTTTATTAGCTCGACTTTTCTATGAAAAGGGGAGCTATCCTACTCGCCCCGGCGTCGGCGTCGGCGTTAGCGTTGGCGTCACACCTTGGTTAAGTTTTTCGTACCACCCCACTTTATTTCAGAAGTATTACAAGTATGGCTTTGAAACTTACCATACTTGTTCACCATCATAACCTCCATCTACAGACAGGAGTACATAACTCTGTCAAGGTTTTTGACAGAATTATGGCCCTTTTTTGACTTAGAAAGTGTATTGAGCTTGGTTAAGTTTTTTGTACCACCTCACTTTATTTCAAAACCATTGGAGGTATTGCTTTGAAACTGACCATACTTGTTTACCATCACGACCTTCATCAACAGACAAGAGGACATAACTCTGTCAAGGTTTTTGACAGAATTATGCCCCTTTTTGACTTAGAAAATACATTGAATATGGGTAAAATCCACTTATTGCCTTAACCCTTTGAGATATTGCTTTTGAAACTTTTAATGCTATTTCACATCATTACCCCCATCTGTACGCAAGAGAAGGTAACTCTGTCAGGGATTTGTTTTAAAAATTAAGGCCTTTTATCGACTTAGAATCTTGGTTAACTTTTTTGTACCAGTCAACTTTTTGACTGAACTGGTTGAGATATTAAATTGAAAGTTGGAATACTTGTTTACCATCATGGTCCCAAAACATGGGCAGGAGAAGGTAATTCTGTTAAGGATTTTATTTGAATTATGGCCCTTTTTGACTTAGAAACTCAGTTAAAATTTTCATTCTTGTCCACTTGTTGACTTAACCATTTGAGATATTACTTTGGAAGTTGGAGTTCTTATGTGCCATCATGAGACCTATCTGTAAGCAAGAGAAGATAACTCTGTGAAAATGTTTCTTGATTTGTACTTAGAAATTCCTAGTTAAAGTCTTGTGTGCCCTTAACTGTCAAAGTTTTGTTTTATAGGCAAGCACTAAAAAAGTCGAGCGCGCTGTCCTTCTGACAGCTCTTGTTACTATAACTTCTTTATTTCATCAGGGATCTATGTAAAACTTTAAATATGTGCTCCTTATCATCAACCACATCCAATGTAACAAGGTTCTACGGAATGCCGTTAGGGCCATTGCCTATGAATGTGTTGATCTGAAACGCGATAGTCGATAGTACGATGGTGAAAACGCGAAATCACGAAACTACGATGGTGAAAACGCGAAAGCACGATGATGAAAACGCGAAAGTACGATGATGAAAACGCGACAGTACGATACTACGATGATGAAAACGCGATAAACTATCGTGTTTTCACCATCGTACTGTCGCGTTTTCACCATCGTAGTTTCGTGCTTTCGCGTTTTCATCATCGTACTGTCGTGTTTTCATCATCGTACTATCGCGTTTTCACCATCGTACTATCGCGTTTTCATCATCGTACTGTCGTGTTTTCATCATCGTAGTATCGCGTTTTCACCATCGTACTGTCGTGTTTTCATCATCGTACTATCGCGTTTTCATCATCGTACTATCGCGTTTTCATCATCGTACTATCGCGTTTTCACCATCGTAGTTTCGTGATTTCGTGTTTTCACCATCGTACTATCGACTATCGCGTTTCAGATTAACACATTCATAGGCGATGGCCCTAACGGCATTCCGGAATGCCGTTAGGGCCATCGCCTATGAATGGTTTGATCTGAAACGCGATACTCGACAGTGCGATGATGAAAACGCGAAATCACGAAACTACGATGGTGAAAACGCGACAGTGCGATGGTGAAAACACGATAGTTTATCGCGTTTTCATCATCGTAGTATCGTACTGTCGCGTTTTCATCATCGTACTATCGCGTTTTCATCATCGTGCTTTCGCGTTTTCACCATCGTAGTTTCGTGATTTCGCGTTTTCACCATCGTACTATCGACTATCGCGTTTTAGATCAACACATTCATAGGCGATGGCCCTAACGGCATTCCGTAAGGTTCAGCACTCTAGCGCTAATATTTTTTAGAATAACATCTCCTTAAAAAAACGTTATTTTTTACTTTAACTTTATAATTTTTCTTTAAACTTCAAATATAAGTTCCTTATCATCAACCACATCATCATGATATCACAAATAATGCAGACTGGTCTCAGGTCTTACCAAAACTGTCAGCACAGATAATTCATTATTACATTTAGACTTAGCCCAGTCAATCATTAAAGTTTAATTTAGCACCTTAAACTCACTTTTTTTTGGTGTTCCGTTTGGACAATCGTGATTTTTTATTTAGTCTGTACCTGCAATGCACGATGGTACGTTGGTGAAAACACGATGGTACGTTTATGAAAACGCGATGGTGCGATTTTGAGATGGTGAAAACGCGATATTTTATCGCGTTTTCACCATCGTACCATCGCGATTTCACCATCGTACCATCGTGTTTTCTTCATCGTGTCATCGTACCATCGCGTTTACACCATCGTGCCATCGTGCATCGCGGGTAAGGAGGAAATACGAAATCACGATTGTCCAAACGGATCATTACGGTGTTCCGTTTGGACACGTTTGGACAATCGTGACATTTTATTTATTCTGTACCCGCGATGCACGATGGTACGATGGTGAAAACGCGATGGCACGATGGTACGATGGTGAAAACACGATGGTACGATGGTGAAATCACGATAGTACGATGGTGAAATCGCGATGGCGCGATAGTACGATGGTGAAAACGCGATGTTACATCGCGTTTTCACCATCGTACCATCGTGATTTCACCATCGTAGCATCGCGTTTTCACCATCGTACCATCGCACCATCGCGCTATCGTGTTTTCACCATCGTGCCATCGCGCTTTCACCATCGTGCCATCGCGATTTCACCATCGTACCATCGCGATTTCACCATCGTACCATCGCGATTTCACCATCGTACCATCGCGATTTCACCATCGTACCATCGCGTTTTCACCATCGTACCATTGCGTTTTCACCATCGTGCCATCGCCTTCCGGTGGACATGCGCATTGTACATCTTTATCAAAAATGGATGAATGCATAACTATGTATTATGTGAGAGGCTATACGTAGAAAGAGTGTATACTGTACCTGTATCGCTGCTTCAATCTGGCCGAAGTCCAATGGTTGTCTTCTTTTCAAACCTAATCTCTTTAAGTGTCCTTTCAGTTGACGAAAACTGAAACAAAATGTCGCAATATCTGTACTGAAAATACATTTTATTTTTATATCACGAATTTTTTTTTTAATTTGCCACAAGACATGATCGTTGAATATGTACGCAGAAGACAAACAAGAGTCTATGTGGGTCTCGGATGAAGCCGGATAAATGTAACGTGACGTTGACTTTAAACTTTGTTATCATTAATTGAATATAAGTATTGAAAATGTGTTATATTATATGTAACTTGAGTTAATGTTCTGTA